AAGTATAGGATTCATGACTTTTATATTTGTGGGGTAACTAGGTAATGGTTTTATACAGGGTTGTTCTCTCAAAAAGTTGTAGACGTTGTAATATTACATTTCACCCAGATGTAGGTGGATAAATCATTTATCTTCACCATGTCTCTCAATATCAGATTGTTGACTTTTTTAGTTAAAGTTGTATGATTAAAATGACAGGGAGTTGACAGCTACATTCCAACACAAAAAAACAAATGCCCCCATTTCTATTGTGAGCCAGATTACATCCTACTACAACTGAAAGGCTTGTTAAATGTGAAACTGATCTCTTGGCATAATTCTGGGAGTAAAGATATGGGTTCATGTAACAGGGTAGGTTCAGTCTTTAATAACTCTCAGGCCTGTACACAGTGTGTGTGTGTGTGTGTGAGATGTGATGTGAATGCACCCCGTCACCCCATGATCTCCCAAATGAGCGTGGGGGGGAGGGAGTCTGATGTCAGCCCCTCCCCTATGCCAGCCAGCAAGGGATGATCCAGTCCCTTCATGGTGCCCCTCAGCAGGGTGCTGGCAGCCATGTGCAAGCAGTGCAATTCATGGGCCACCTCCTCACTATGTGCAGCCAAAGCAAAGGAAGCCACAGGCTGCAGAGTGTTGCTGCCGGTGCCAGACTGGAGCTCTGGCATAGGGGCTGCCCCACGTTACTCTTTAGTAAGAGCCCCACTGCAAGCTGCGGCAGAGGCCAGGCACAGAATGGGGCTGAGGCTGCCAAGCTAGCTGGGGAGGCCACTCCCTTTTAGTGGCACTTTGGAACCCAGCCCCGCCCCCCAAGCCCAATCTGGCTCCTGTTCTAGGGGAGGGAGGTGGGATGGCCAGGGATTTGCTGTTTCTTTTTGGCTCTGCCTGTAGCTGTGGTTAAGGCAGCTGCCTCTCCTGCCCCTCAGCAGAGGTACTGGGGTGCAGCTGCTGCACTACCCTCCCTCCTCCAGCTTGATGTAGTTTGCATCATATTTAAACCATATTTAAATATCACTATGGGGAGAAAAGAGCCACAGGGAAGAAAATGAAAGGCCACAGCCAAGCCTTGCACGAAGATAGATGCTTTTGTAAAGGCTAGGAAGGCTGTGGCTGAATACAGATGAAAATCAAGAATCAGCTATAGTCTATCAGCAATCAGACCATGTAGAATCAGGATTTTAAATCAGTGAATGTCATTCATATGAAGAAAGCAATCTATTAGAGATTAAAAGTGTGAGGAAGACAGAAGCAGTTAGTCTTTCTGTTGATGATACAGGCAGTCCCCGAGTTACGCGGATCCGACTTATGTCGGATCAGTACTTACGAACGGGGCTTTTCTCGCCCCGGAGGACGCGGGCGGCAGGACCGCCCAGACGCACCGCGTTCCCAATGCCCGTGTCCTCCGGGGTGAGACCAGGGAGAAGCGGAGCAAAGCCGCAGAGGATGCGGGTGGCGGAACCGCAGTGTGTCTGGGCGGTCCCGCCGCCCGTGTCTCCCTGGTCTGCTGGGGGGGGGGGGGGGGCGCACTAGCTGCGCCCCTCCCCCCCCCGCAGCAGACCAGGCTTTTCTCCCGGACGCCTGTGGTAGAGCTACCGGGTTGGACCTACCCAGCAGCACCCCAGCTGCTCTGCCCCCAGGTGTCCCCAAGTCAGCCGCTGCTGAAACTGACCAGAGGCTGACTACAGGAAGCCGGAGGCAGAGGTGCTCTGCCCCGGGCTTCCTGGAATCAGCCACTGATCAGTTTCAACAGTGGCTGAATCTGGATGCCTGGAACAGAGCAGCTGGGGCGCTGCCGGGTAGGTCCCCGCAGCGCGGCACCTCGGTGCTGCGGGGCCCAACCCGACAGAACCCCAGCTGCTCTACCCCAGGGTCCCCAAGTCAGCTGCTGCTGAAACTGACCAGCGGCTGACTACAGGAAGCCCGAGGCAGAGTTTCTCTGCCCCGGGCTTCCTGGAATCAGCCGCTGATCAGTTTCAGCAGCAGCTGAATCTGGACACCAGTTCCGACTTACGTACAAATTCAACTTAAGAACAAACCTACAGTCCCTATCTTGTACGTAACCCGGGGGCTGCCTGTATTAGTACTATTTTGAATGCCACAATGATGAAAGAAGAGATAATCCAAGTTGTTAATTCACTCCCACCTATTCAAAAATGCCACTTGCTCACTGAACACTACATTCTGCCGAGGGACTACATTTTTCCCTCCAGGGTTCTGCATAAATGTAATCCGAAATTCAAGTATAGGTATCTCTGTATGACTACAAGTGGACGTTATATTATCCCTCACTAGATGCTGCCTTTTGGATTTATTGCACAGTTATGATTCCAGAAGACAAAAGGAGTAAATGTAAGCAATTTGTCAATAGTCCCTTTATCAAATGGCACAAAATTGATGAGGAGGCTAAAGATCATTAGCAAACAAAATACCATAACATTTCTATGATTTCTGCAGAACACCTAAAACAGTCTGTAATGGAGCCAGAAAAAAAGCATCCATAACTATTATGAATCGATCATATAAAACAAACAAACAACCCCCCCTCAAAACAGCCACATTATCAAGTCTGTGTCTGAAGCCATCCTTTTCTATGGAAAACGATGTATAGCATTACATGGAGATCATATAAAACTTTCAGAAACCTCAGATGAGGATGTCGCAGGCAACTGTGGCAACTTCTTAGCAGTACTGCAAATGATACCCAGAAAAGACCCTATTCTGCATGATCATATATTCAGCATTTGTTTGAATAACCACAATGCCAAATATACATCACCAAGAATTTAGAATGAATGGACATAATTGATCATGATATTATTTGCCAAAAACTAGCTGAAGAGATAAAGGCTGCATCTTTCTTCAATATCATGGCTGATAAAGTATCTAGTCATAACAAAGAAGAGCTGGCATTGTGTGTTCATTTTGTGGACAAAAATAAGAATATTCTAGAAGACTTCTTGGCCTTTTTGTCTTTGGAAATAATTACTAGTGAATACACCACCAATAGTATTATCAGAACTGTAAATGAACTAGGACTGGATGTATCAAAAATAAGAAGACAGGGCTACAATGGTGCAGCAAACATGTCAAGTGATAATGTCAGAGTACAGCGTCGCTTAAGAGAACTATCACTGGAAGCAGTATATGTACACTGCAGTTCACATGGTCTCAACTTTCTAATTGTTCATTCCTATGGTTTGACAACTGTATGAATCACTATGGTCAAGCTGAAGTCTTGCTGCTTGTTTTTCCTGAGCAGTCCGAAGCATTAAAGTCTGCTTTTGTCCATCATCAGCAAAGAATTACCGAAGTCACAGGGTCGCAAGGTATTGATACATTTGTGCAGGACAAGGTGGTCAGTAAAACATATTGCATATCAATACTTCTACCAAGCATACCTGTTTATTATTACAGCCTTGGAATTAATTGCTCATAGAATTAATTGAGACCAATGTGGAGAAGTTTACCAGAATGTCGAATGGCAAAGCAGAGGCCAACAGCTTGCTTGCATGTCTTGCATGATTTGACTTTAGCACCACATTCATTTTTAAAATTGTACCTCATTTGTCAGGTATTTCAGTCAAATTGCAAAAGCAAAACAATAGATATTGTCAGCACATACAAGGAGATAGCTGAGGTTAAAAAAACCTTCTAGCATTATATCAGAAAATATAAATGAGGAATTTGGCAGAATCTATCAGTATGCAGTATGGTCAGCCCATGCTGTCAATGTGGAGCCTTCTATGCCTTGAATAGTTGGTAGACAGGTTCACTGGCAAAATGCCACAGCAACTACTCCAGAGGAATACTACAGAAGAAATATGGCAGCTCTGTTCTTGGCTCATATCACTAAAAAGCTTGAAGAGCAGTTCTCCAATTTAGCTGCTAAGTCTTATCTTTTACGTTTAGTACCATTTCTGTTATGTGGAAATACCCTTAAACGCGCTGCCCGCGCTGTTCAAAAAACTCGAAATTATTATAATGGGGTTAATGGGAGGTTGGTCGTAAGTACAGATGGTCATAAGTCAGTGTGTTTCTAAGTCAGGAAGTGGCTGTATTGTTTTTCATTACAGCAAGATCCCAGAACCAATAGTGGGAAATAGTTTTTGCAGGGGGGGCAATTAATGAATTTTGGTACATGGTCACAGACTGGCTCCACCCCAGGAAGAGGAGGGGTCTGGGGTAAAAGGGGCAGGGCTGAGGACTAGCCCCCCCCTCAGAGTTGTCTGGGGCTAGAGGCTTTGAATTAAAACATAGCAAAGAGCTTGTGGCTCCCAGCCCCACTGCTACTGCATTGCCTGTCAGCTGCCCAGGATTGCTGTGGCTATTTAAAAGACTCAGCTCTAGCCCCTGCCAGGGTAGCACTGCGACTGAGAGCTGTGAGCCATTTAAACAGGATCCTGCTGCCTGAGCCACCGCCTAGAAATTCAGTGATATGGGCACCAGCATATAAATAGAAAGCTGCCAGATGCAGTTCTCAGGTCAAATCGAAGCGTTAGGTGGGCTGGATCCAGCTGCTAGTCTGCATCTTGCCCAGCCCTGTTCCAGAAGATAATTTCTACAAGACCTTATTACTGTGTACATTTTTAGTATGTTATAATAAAATCATTTTACCAATCACTGTTTCCACTCAAATTTTTCATTAACTTTCTTATGCTAACTCATTGCATGACTATTTTGAACTCCTTTATATTTAAAAAAAGTTGCAATGCACATTTACAAAAAAAAAGTACCCCATGCCAGAGAAATTCCTGTGTATGAACCTGGTTCAGGTTATTCTGTTTCTTTTTCTGAACCAATCTACAGATGGAGAGAGTCTTCTTTATGTTCTGACACAATTACAGCCTTTTCATAAGTCCAAGATTATATTCTGGGTACTCCGGGGAAAGATTCTGTGTATGCTCCCAGTGCATCAGATCATCTATTAATACCACTACCCCTTAATATTTTAAATGACTTCAGATATATATCCACAGTACTCCTTTTAGAGTTACAATACTCACCGTAATCACAAAGCACAACTAACAATAGATTTGAAAAATCTTTCAACATCTGTTTCATTCTGATCATTGGGCTCATAGGTCCTTTTATTCCTCATGTCCTTTTCCACTCCCAAAACACAGGCACTGTTTTCAAGAACACCTGAAAATTAAAACGTAAAAAAATTACAACCCTGTTAAATTTGCTTCATAAAAGAAAAAACCTGAACATTAGTTGGAAAACTTTTGACAATAGTAATAATGCATTAATAGTATTAAACAATATATCCAGTTAGGGGTGAAAGTAAATGCCAGGACTTGCCAGTGCATCAGTGTCCTTGGTAAAGTGAGAGGGCAGCTTTGTGCCGCCGGAAGGGGCAGAAGGATTGGGGCAGACTTCTGCAGTCCAGAAGCCCCATGCTCCAGTGGTGATTTGAAGGGGCTGGGAGCCCCAGGCCCTTTTAAATCTTCAGGCTCTGGGGCAACTGCCCCTTTTGCTCCCTCCCCCACCTCCCATAGGC